GACGAAAATATCGTACGATGAACCCAGAAACTAACAGAAATAATAAACAAGTAGTGGTAATTGAAAATGCCAATACCTATAAATTGTGTATCTTTCAACAAATCGAATATATATGCTTCAAGTGGCTTTTTCAACTTTCCAACCAGAAGTGTGGTAAGGAAGTGTTTGTGATATTGCAAGCCGTGATAATGGTGAAAATATAAAGGGGGAGAAACATCACTTCTGTAAGTCTCCATTTCATTCGATTTGTTACATTTAACTGTTCATACATTCAATTCGTTCTTGAATATCTTGGTGGTAATATTTCTGAATAATAACATCGTGAGCAACCATCCTGATAACATCTCTGCAGCTTCGGTTGTTGTGGTCCAAGAATATTGTCTACCGTGGTTTATTAAAAAAACATTTAGGCATATATAAACTAAACTGGTTTCCGAGCATTTTATAGAAGTTATTAATTAATTCTATAATTTCTGGTTTCTTAATTATTTCTTCCAAAGTTGGTCTACTACTCGATTTCTTGTCTGTTATCGACTATGCATGACAAGAGAGTTCGTGCGTGTATGGTTGAAGGTCATCTTGAAAAACCTCTAATTCAGTGTCTCAACATGCCAAAAAGTAGTAATTTTTGCACTTAATTAGTTCTATTCAATTCGGAGTGTTTTAACGGATTCGTCAAAGGTATTATGTTATTTCTAAAATTATTTTTTCGCCAATGTTTCGAATTCAATTTGAATCTTCTTCAGGGCTTTGTAACAATCTGCCATAAACTTTATAATTGTATTTTTTTTTATTTTGTAAGAAGTAGTAATGAAATTATGATACAGTTTCTCTGCGAAAGGAGTTTTTCCATGGTAAAACTATAATTAAGTTATTTTTTACGCTGTAGCGTAAAAAATATTTAATATCAGCAAAACACACGGACATGAAATAAACGAATGGATTCATCTATAATTTTGATAAGGCGATACCTGTTTTTATTGATGCAAGAAAGAATTCGAATAGAAACAGTGACAGTGTTCCATGTGAGTACCATTTATTACCATTCATTCAAAGNGTAATAGATAATTATTAATAGTTTGGATGCTTGCTTGGTGGCTGGGTACTGCTAGGTATGCTAAATTTGTATCCTCTTCCAGGGTTGTCTCTTGTTGATGTACCTACACACCCTAAAATAAATTGTGATAACGTTTCCTCCAGTGGGTTTTGTTGCCGACTACGTCCCAGCCGAACCTATTTGCTTCCCCCTGAGTTCCCTAGAGTCTATTTTGTTACATCATTCCAGCGCCGCTCCTACATTTCAATACCACTTTTGTAGAAGGATTTTGCCTCAAAACAGGCCCCGGTTTCAGCAATTAACCTCTTCATTCGAGATTTCTTACCGGTGAGCATTTTTTTAAGATCTACGAACCAGTACTCGCCAATACTCGCTGGGAGTCAAATCTTGCGAATACGGTGGATGTGGGAGCATTTAGAAGTTCAATTCAGGTAGTTTCGCCATTGTTTTGATTGACTTGTGATACGGTACGTTGTTACGATGAAACACATTTTTTTCTTTGTCATATGCGGTCGTTTCTTTGCAGTTTCGGTCTGCAAACGCTCCAATAACGCTATATAATATTCACTGTTGGATGGTATTTCCCTACTCAAGATAATCGATGAATATTACACCACGCACATCCCGAAATACCGAGACCATAACCTTTCCAGCCGATTATTGTGCTTTCGGACGCTTAGGACGAGGTTCACCAGTTGTTCTCCACTCAAATGACGATCGTTTTGATTCCGGACTAAAGTGATGGATCCATCCATTGTCACATATCGACGCAAAAATTTCGATTTGCTTTGTTTACCCATGGCCAAACACTGCTCAAAATCATCAAGACGTTCTTGTTTTTGGTCTATTCGACACTCCACCGCAACCCGCAAGGGTTTATTGTGGCTCACACCTATTCACACTCGACCAAATAAACCCAGCTTCTTAACGAAGCCGATTAGTTTGTAATGTGAGTGATCTTTCAGGTCAAATAGTAAGTGTACGGCTCTGCCGAACTCTAAAAACCTGATTTGGTCCCCAGCGGGGCAGGTACAAAGTATATGCTCTGCTGTTTCATCATTTCCAAGCAGAGGCGACACACACTGTCTTCCGACAGTCCGAGTCTCTGAATATGATGATTCAAATGACAGTGACCTGTAAGAAGGTCTGTTAGACATCGTAGTTCATCCCTACTGTTTTGTATTTGATAAATGGACTGTAAAAAAAAATAGGAGTTCGCTATCTCAAAGAGTGTTTGACCGGTTTTATAAAGTTGCCTTTCAATGGCCAGAGAATAATGATGAGAATTTATTACACGAGACTGTGTTTTCCTACCTTGGAATCGTTCTGCATCCAGACCCAACGTTGATTGAATTCCCTTCTTAGAGAGGAAACTGGGCATAAACACAAGTGTTTATATGAATAACTATTATTATCGAAGTCTTGCACTTGTAGATCCAAATTATTATTATCGAGGTAGACCTACTGTAGTCCAACAACTGTTTGGTACCAAGCTTCGAAGGGTGAATAAACGCCTTGGAGGGAGCCAATCCTGGAAGATTCTGCCAGAAGTCCATAAATCTTCTTGCCATCCAGGTGTTCAATCTCAGTTTGGCAAAGCCTAAAGCGATGCCAATGACAGGTTCTGGTCCGATGAAGCTGCTTGCCGCACCCTCCTTAGCGAAGGAGTCAGCAGCCTCATTGCCTTCCAGGTCAGTATGACCAGGAATCCAGACCAGAGACAATCTGTTATGTCTTCCTATCGAGGAGAGTCGTTTTTGGCAATTTGGTACCGATTTAGATGTTGAAAGCTCTTGGTAGGAGCCAAGAGCTTTCAACGCCGCTTGACTGCCCGATAATATTTTTATTGACTTGTGTATGAGGTTGGATTCATCCAATCTCTCCGCACACAATTCAATAGCGTAAATTTCCGCTTGAAATGCAGTCGCATAGGTTCCTAGGCAGGTTGATATCTTTGTTCTGGGTCTGCGACCAAAAACACTTGCACCGGAAACGGAAGGTGTTTTTGATCCATATGTGAACCAAAAACTATCTGTTTCTAATATTCCCGTCTCCCGGAGGAGGTTAGTACTAACTGCAATGAGGCTATCTCCATCTATGTGCTAGACCCAAGACTTTTCAGCCCAGGTAGTGAATTATGTGAACTTTTTTCATTTCTTATTAAATTCGGCTGAATCAATACTGACCTGTCGATAGCAACTACTATAGCTTTTTCTATAACATAATAAAAGTTGGTTTGGGAATTGAAAAAGAGTAATGTTTCTTTGCTTTTGTCAAATCATCTTTTTTTCTCGAAATCTGCTGTATCTAATCTAATTAAGTAAAGAGTCTCATGTGAGACGTAAGGGTTGGATCACACTACCCCAAAGGGGGCACGAGAGGAATTTTTTCTCCTTGAAATAAAAATTAACGACTTTGAACTATTTTTTTTTTCGGAACGCAAAATATGAGTAGTCATTGGACCATCCTCAATCAGAACTTGCTCTTTTTAAAATAATTAGTGCAGAGGAAATGTAAATCAATGAAAATGAATATTTGGGTGAATAACGCTATTTATTTTATATTTATGAATAACGCTTATAATAATATCGTTTATTATGCATGAAAAATACATTTATACATAAAAGAAAAAGGGTTAGCCCAAGGCTATCTTCCACCTCTCCTAAAAATTATACAGTTAGTGTAAGAAAATAATTATAATAATACTTATTTACTTTCATAACAATGATAGAGAAGAGAAAAAAACAATAGATCATATATAGTTGCTAATAACTCTTGATATTCTGAACATTATTTTGGTCAATTTAACAATTTCATTGCACTACCATAGGTACATTGAATTTTAAATTTNCACATATATCGGTGAGGGAAAAGTTCATAGGAGCATTCAATTTATTATAATTGTAGAATGAAAGAGTGTTATTAGAGTCGTTATTAGAAAAAGAATGAAGAACTCAAAAAATTTTATAACGGTTTCAAGAAACACCCAAAAAATACAGCGTAGGATGTTGAGACGAACGGTGAATATATCAGCCGCTCACAAATTAGTTTTAACACATTTTTATTACTTTCGGAACTTAATGCGATTTAGTGAAAAATGAGCCAATAAAATTTGATGATCTAAACGTCCATATCAATGGCTATGGACATTCGCTGGAACTTTATTTATGTTACACATTACTTTTGATTGCTGATTCAAGGGTGTCAATAGTTATTTCAGGAAAACGAGATACCCACATCGCAATAATTACTTTTATACAATAAACACACATTTACGATTTGCTTGACTATATTGAAAAAATGCTTCGAAACATCGAGTTTTTAAACGACTTTCAAAACTGGAAATTGAATGGTATGTATTGTCAAGTACAAATTGAGATACTGGATTGAAACTGGATTGACGCGAAGCCATCCAGTAGACATTTTCACTGTTGAGCTTTATCGGGAGTATTAAAAAAAATCAAAATCAAAATAATTTATTCGCACCCGCAACATAGCAGCCATCCTTAAGATAAATGTACACGTCAAATACTGTTACATTGAGCAAAATATAATAAAATGTCACAAACACTAATAGTGCTAAAGAACTAATAGTACAGGAATTCACTGATGGAGAATNGAAAATAAATCACCTTATATAAAGCGTTTCTCTACGAAAACTTAACCCTATCCCCGTAACTCTGAAACGAACATGTGATAAGAAATTTCGAAGAGTTTGACAACTTTTTTCAAGAAAGACCAATGTTGACATGAAATTCACTTCCGAACTCACTTCCTAGCAGCTACCCCAATGGTTAATAGGAGAAATAGAGAAGAAAAACATTTCAATGGACATTTTGAAAACTGGAGTAATGAAGAAAAACCAAAAAGACCGGATAGACTTTCGAAACCCGCAACCGTGATAGAGGGCGTGACAGCCAAGCAATAGAAAACAAACCAATAGGCCTTAGGGGCCCAAAGAATAATTTTGAGGAAAGGAGGGGTAAACGAGGGTTTGACAGGCAAAGAGAATCTGATGAAACAGGAGTTAAACCCATCGACAAACGTGAGGGAGTTGGTGCTCATAATTGGGGATATCATAAGGATGATATAGAAGAAGCTGATATACCTAATAACGACATCAATCAAAGTTGGGGAGATGATTCAAAGGTGGAAGCTGTCGATGAAAAAAAAGAAGTTGATGTTGAACCTACTCCAATCGAAGAAGAACCCAAAGAATTGACATTGGACGAATGGAAGGCTCAGCGTGCTGGTCGTGTCAAGCCCCAATATAATATTCGAAAAGCAGTCGAAGGCGAGGATCCAAGCCTCTGAAAGAAAGAGAAAGAAGAAGAATCTCAAGAATAAGAATATGATATACCCGAATATCCCCAACGTGTTGGTGGACAGAAATACATTCTGGACATCGATATTCAGTTTAAAGATAGTAGGCGTCTTGGTGTTGGGTGTGGGAGAGACCAAAGATCTGGTCCAAAAGGAACTCGTGGGGGTCGTGGGGGTGGCAGAGATGGTGGTAGAGATGGAAGGGGTTTCAAAGATGGAACCAGAGATGATGTTAGAGAAGGTGGACGGGATGGTGGTAGAGATTCGGCAAGGGATCTAGGCAGAGAAAGTTCTGGACAGGCTGAAGATCGAAACGATGATCGTCAAGCTCCGAAGGTTGATGATGAACGTGACTTTCCTTCTCTTGGATAAATTTATGGCAGTGTTGTCTGCCATACTTTCAGTTGAGTTGTGGTTGACTGTAGAAGTGACTCATTATCACCTCAGGACAAACTGTATATTACAGTTTAACTACTTTGCTACATTGGTACAGACTTGGCATCATAGATAAGAATTCGTCTCTATCTAGATTTTCTTTGTGGCATACTCAAATTATATCTATTTAAGTGTAAGCCGGGCACCCATCAGGGTGGAAGTTACTAGTCAGCATTACGCTGCATTGTTAATATTTCTTTGTGGCCGCTCATTGATAATTTGTTAGTTATTTTTCATGCCACTAGAGTTGAATTTTAAATGATGCATTTTTTACATTAACGAAATACTTTGATACAACTTACTGAAATGTTTGGGTAATCAAAGAATAAGATATTTGATATTACTTTTGTTGTATTATTTGACTTGTCTAGTCTGATATATCAATATATCGTACAAAATTCACTTTCGTTTTCTTTGTTAAGAGAAATTAACAACAAATCAACGGAACAAATTTAACGGTATACGAGGTCTGTTAGGAAACTAAGGTGATTGTTCAGATTTCGCAGGCGACATAAATTCGATAAGCAGTTTTTTATTTTTGTATGTTGGTACACTCATCTCAAACATTAGTCACAGTTTCAGCTGTTTAGCGTGTTTCTGCTATCGAAAAAAGTGTATCAATGTTTTTGCTTCAAATTTTGTGTGAAAAATGGAGTTAGGTGCCCAAAAACACTCGAAATTTTGACAGATACGTTGATTGACTCTGAGTCAAAAAAATATTTGTAAGTGGTGCAAGCTTTTCACAGAAGGTGAAATGTGAATGATGACGCTCGCATTGAGACAGTGAAGAAAATTGTTATGGAGAATTGTCGAATCATTATTAAAGAAGTTGTTGAGGATGTTGGCATGATAGTAGGCTCATGTCAAGCAATTTTTCCGTAAATTTTGGGCTTGGAGCGTGTGGAGCGAAGTTCGTTCCAAAATTGCTGAATTTTGACCAAAAAAAATGCATGAGCATCGCTTAGGAATTGTTAAATGACGCCAACGGCGATTCAGATATACTTGAAAAGGTCATAACTGGTAATGATCACGGGTATATGGTTATGATATCGAAATCAAAGTCCAGTCGTCCAAATGGAAGAGCCCAGGAGAGCCAAAAAAGCACTTCAAGTTCGATCAAAGGTTAAGGTTTTGCTCCCTGTTTTTTTCGATTACCGTGATGTAGTGCATCAGCAGTTCTTGCCACATGGTTGTACAGTCAATAAGGAGTATCATTTTGAAGTTTTGCGCAGCTTGTGAGTAACGATACGAGGAAATCGTCCGGTATTTTGGAAAAACAATTCATTGCTTCTGCATCACACCTGCTCACTCGTAATTGCTTGTTCGTAATCATGCCTCAGACATCGTATTCACCAGATTTGGTTCGCTGCGACTTTTTTCTGTTCCCAATTGAGGAGATAAAAGCCGAATTGCTGAGAGAGCTTATGACATACCCAAAAGTGCATATCAGAACTGTTTGAGGATTGAAAAAAAAACCTTGGCACAAGTGTATTATTATATCTGAGGGGGCTCCTTTGAAGAGGACAAAATAAAAATTGACGAATGAATAAGTAAATATTTTTTGAGAAAAATAAAAATTCCCCTCATTCTTTTAATAAAAATAACCTCCTTCAAGTTCCATGAAATACAATTGACTTTCACAATCTTTTCTTCATTATTATTCAAGATGTCCAGAGTCAACATATACATACCTTCACAAATCTGTCGCAACTCTTCCAGATTTGCAGGCACAATATTGTAAATTTTCATTCGTACAACCCCGCAGAAAGAAATCTAAAGGTTTAAGATCGGGTGATCTAACTGGTCACCACCAAGTGTATTGTATATTCGGTTTGTATTATCGGTTACACAACTGAAGTCGAACAGGATCATCTTCGTTTCATTCATCTCCTAGTGTTTTCTTTGAATGGCTGAAAATTGCCGAAGCATTAATTGTTGATATAACAGACGCTCAAGACAGTTAATTGCAGTATCAATTATTTCGGGTAGGCTTTCATACAAAAATACTGATACCGAATCTGTTTTGATTTGATTTCGATTTGCATTATTCATTTTTTCTTTTGTTTTGCTTTTCTGGGACAATAACTATACGATTCTATAAATGATTCGAAATGACCGATAATTTCGCAAGTAAACATTTTAGAATAATCTCTAGGATTACCAAGATTCAATAGCAGTGTTTAAAATAAACGCAGTTGAATGTAACTAGCAGCAATAGCAGTAATCTAACATCTCGTGTTGAATTCTGTGATCTCTCGAACTGGGTTTTGCGCGTTTGATCTACCGTTCACCAGCGTTGCCAAGTGACACCTCAAAAAACTGACAAGCTCTGAATGTCCACTCGTAACAATTCAAATACCAATTCGATTATCTGTGAGTATATCATTTGCTCCTTCTAAGGGTTGTCCATCAGTGAATGACCGAAAATAACTTGATTTTGGAACGATTAATAACATATGGACCTACAATGGAAAACATTGAATATACATATACCCTCCCATTCACTTATTTCTACTTCTGGTTTCAATCCCGTACCAGGAATTGTATATTTGAAGCTGAAATCTTCAGTCTCGATTTCGTGTGATTTGGAATCATCTTCATTTTGTAGTCATCTTTGAGCTAAAATGAAGTTTTTCGATCTCTAGCACTTCTCAAAACCATACAATTAATCTTACATGATTCCTTGACAAAATTGCATTGTCGAGTAAAAATCCCTAGATCTCCGGAAATTTTCCCCAACTTGGCAACTATGCAGTTCACTCTCACTCTCTCTCGGGACACAGCAGCACTGTATATCCTTGTGCAGAACTCCTCCTCTCTTTTCACTTTCAGCGGACGTTGACTCTATCTCGTCCCTGCCCCGCTGGCCCCCCTCTGGCACACATCAACTCGGTGCGCATTGCGGCCAAATATAACGGCTTGTGGCAGCGTTGCCAGCATTACGATTTTTCCGTTGATATCGCGGGAGTTTATTGATTTTGGTAGGCTACAGGCGCGTTTCGTAATCTAATTGGGATTCGATTGGAATGATAACTATGTTAGAAGCTTCGGCTTTTTCTTGATAGATTTGATTGATTTCCGTGGAATGTATTGCGTGTTGAAGTTGCCAGATTGTATTAAGGAATTCACTATTTCGGGTAGTCGAATTTAATTAGAGTTGAGAATCAATTTCAATTAAACTCGATGATTTGGGAACCATAATCGTTGATTTGAAGCATTGCCTTTGGTAAGTGCTGAGAATTTGGTTTGAATTGGTGGGGTCTTTGCTTCCGGTAATCCTCAAAACTGGTGTGCATAGCAAGACATTCCTAGGAAATATTATTGTATAGGGTCTACCAACAGGGACTTCTGAACTTTGACCATTGATAACGGCCATCTGTCAAATTAGTTGTCGTTTATTTGGTCTGTTTGAGCAAATCACCATGGACCGATTTATCATTCAACAACACGTACAAATACTAAAATTGTTTTATCAAAATAGACGTTTCTTTCAGGTAACGTACCGCGCCCTTTGCCTATTTTTCGGTCGCCATAATTGTCCTACCTAGAGGACTATTGGCAATGTGGTGGATTAATTTAAGTCCACTGGTTCAGTAAACTATAGACTAACACCCGTACATCGATAAAAACAAAAAAACTGCTGGAAACAATGCCGCTGTTTGTGAGAGTGTGCAGGTTAATCCGAGGCAGTCGATTTTGCATCGCTCACAAGAACTTGGCTTTTCGCAGACCACAACTTGACGAAATTTGCGTCGTGACTTGGGCCTGCCACCGTGCAAAATTCAACTGACCCAGGAACTGCAGGTAAACGACCATAGACAACGACGTGTGTTCACTCTGGAACAGTTGGCAACTGAACCTAATTTTCATCGAAAACTCATCTTCAGCGATGAGGCCATTTCTGGATGAATGGGTATGTGAATAAACAAAATTGTCGAATTTGGGTTGATACCAATCCACATGACAGCCAAGAGCGTCCAATGCATCCCGAAAAAGTCACTGTTTTGTGTGCATTTTAGGTTGGTGGCGTCATCGGTCCTTATTTTCTTTGAGATGATTACCAACTTCTTTTGGCCTGAATTGGATGATCTGCACACCAACGATGTGTGGTTCCAACAGGACGGCGCTACGTGCCACATAGCTCATGCCACATTGGATATTCTGCACTAGCGATTCAGCGATCATCTCACGTGGAGGTGATGTGAACTGGCCACCGAGATCTTGCGATTTGACCCCGTTAGACTTTTTCTTGTGGTTTTTTCACTACAGGTGTATGCGAAAAAGCCACAAACCACAGCGGCCCCCAAAGCCAACATAATCCATGCCATCGGTCAAATTTAACCTGAGTCATGGAAAATTCGATTTTTCGGATTCGTGTCGTGTCGGACATTTAAACGATGTAATATTATCCACATAATGACATGAATAGGTCCTTCAAACGAATAAAAAATTTCGATGATATTTCACTCACACTTTTTTATTTAGATTTGAAGATAGCAAGCGCCTTATGAAAGACCCGTTATATATTTGTACTTTCATAAAACACTGAATTTGTTAGGGTTAATTTTGGCATAGAAAGAGATACATTTTTATTAAATATCATATGTTTGGGAGAGCTCATGTAACAGCGGAAAATAAATTTAACGATGTTCACTGTTCAAAAGTATGGTTTATTCTCCTCAAATATATTTTCTAATCATTCTTTCGATTACTCAGGTTTACATAAGAATCTAAACACAAAGAAACAAAGCGTATTTCTGACTCAACCCTAAATGACTAATCAACTGGAGTTGAATAAAATATACAGAATCTTCCGTTGTTTTAAATAATAACAGCTTGAATAACAACAAAAATAGTGATAACAATAAAGAGTAATAATACTCTTACGGTATTGACGAGACACCGGAGTTGCCCGGGGGATATTGAATTCGTGTGGAGAACGAGAAGTGCCGAATTTATTGAAACTATTCGTTCCCCACCCTCAGGCTCATACAAGCTAATAAGCCTGATGTGGTCCTTCTCGACCACCAGAGGAAAACGATATTTGTCGTGGAGTTTTCAGCTCCTGGCGAGACGAATATCGCCAGAAAAGAGGAGGAAAAACGGATAAAATATCAAGATTTTCTCTTCGAACTCCGCAGACTCTATTCAGATCACTCTGTGAAGATGGTTGTTCTGATTATTGGAGTCCTTGGTGGAAATATATCCTCTCTACTCTAGAATCTTGAGATCATATCGGCTTGCCGCACTAAGGCAGAAATCTTAGCCGCACTAGGGCAGAAATCTTAGCCGCACAGATGAAGAAGGCTGTCATTCTTGGCTCACTGCGCTTGCTCAGGGCACATGATTCTCGGACCCAATGATCACTTACCCCACGGTGTGGGGTGTGGTCATTGGTTGATAATGCTGGCACGCCCTCCCGAATGTATCGGGGCTTCGGGGGATAGGGCCTGACCAGCGCACACTATGGTGAAAAAAAAAGATAACGTATAATGTAATGATAACGTATACCCAATCACTAATCAAGTAATTTCGTTACACTCAATTGGTAATTTTGTTTAATTTATTTTGTAAATATAAATATTTTGCGCTGTATCAAGCATTAAGGGGCCAAAGCAACGTTCCAACCGCAAGAGACGTTCATGACTTTCTGAAAGGCAAAAAAACAGTGTATTACCAAAAAACATATTTGTCCGATATATTGACGTTAATTATCCAACTGAATGAACTTCGGTGCTCATGTCGAAATAATCGTCATTGAAAATATATCAAAAGTGTTTTGTTTTGTGAATATCATTATCAAGAGCGAAGATTTCCTTCAACGGAGCTTCCCGAATCCACTTCTCAGAAAGGTACCTTTCCAACGCTATTCTTCACGCGGATGACCACGAGGAATCCAAGTAAGTCGCTTAATGTTCTCGTTCTTGACCTAATTTCAACTATCGTTTTCTCTTTCGCCATTATTTTTGGGAATAACGGATATCACCCCAACTCGAAATATTTTCCAACAGTTCATATTTTTCGAAACCAATTCCTGAGCTAATATATACTCAAACATCATAGTTTTTAGGTCCGGAGACCTTCTGAAGTACATTTCTTATGAATTTGGCACACGGTTTACAGAATTTGAATGCTTGTGGCATTCAGAATCTTTTCTTTCATTGAAGAGGATTATACTATATTTCTGGTTCAACATTACATAAATAATCAATAAACACCGATTGGAAAAAGCCAAAGCACTTCTCGCCAGAAAATCCAAGCTATACCTGCTGTGAGTGGGTCGTCTGTTGATATTTCTTCTGAGTTATCATTCGACAAAACTAAAATTATAATAGTAGGCACTAAATTCTCAGAAATATTATTGCATTAAAATGAAAATATTGATGGCAGGTTGTGATTCTATATATTCTATATATTTCGATAAGAAAAGTACACATGGTTTGAGTTCCATGAGAAGTGCAGCGCGTAAATCTGGACATCACCAAGTGAACGACATATTGAAACGAGCTATGTTTTCAGCGGATGTTCCTGCATTTCTGGAACCCTTAGGTACCAGTCGAGATGATGGTAAACGACCAGATGGTATGTCTCTCATACCATGGAAATACGGTAAACCTGTGGTATGGGACTTCACTTGCGTTGACACGGTCTCGGCTTCCCATCTAGTCAGAAGTTCGAAGTCTTCTGGAACCGCAGCATTGTCTGGCAATAAATTGAAACGAAAAAAATACCAAAAACTTGGTAACTACTATCTGTTCCATTCAATAGCGGTTGAAACTTTTGGTGTTCATGTCCAGGAGTCTCTGTTATTCGTTCATGAACTCGGAAGGAGACTAGGCCAAGCAACGAAAGATCACCGTTCTACCTCTTTTTTGGTTGAAAAAATTAGCATTGCTATTCAACGTGGTAATGCTGCTTCGGTCCTTGGAACCATTCCTCCTTCACATGATTTTGATGAGATCATGCATTGTCCTAATTTCAGTACGGAACTAAAATATCTTCGAAACAAGCCGAGATATGTGGATATTCATCAGCCTCCTATCAATATGAGTTGCAGTCCTCGTGGTTCTGGTTCCCTTTCAGTGAAAGAGCTTCATGAAGCAAGAGCCGAATCGATCCCTCTACGAAACACTTCATCGCTTGGAAGGATCGATCGCAGCTTGAGAAATGGTTCTTATGCAGATTATATGAAACATGTTCTCCCTTACGAATCAGTAGAGAGTTGTCCTGAAACCTTGAGAAAACAATTGGATTATATAATTTAGGAAACACTTGCTATATGAATAGCATTTTACAAGTGTTGTTTATGACGAAGAATTTCAAGAACGAGGTTTTAATGATGACCGAGAACGAGAATGTTTCCTACTCATTCACCAAACTCTAACACCTGTTTATGCAGCTGTAGTTTCGTAAGAATGTATCATCTTTGCCACTAACTGATTTCCTGAAGTCTTTGAAGTCCACCAGATACTCGTTGGGACAACAAGAGGATTGTTCCGAATTCTTGGGGTTCTTTTTGAATACTCTTCGTGAGCAGAATCACTGACCGCTTTGGATTGAATGCTTCCGTACAGTCTATCTCGTCTTGTGTTTGTAAATCACCTGTTTACTTCGTAGTAAATGTTGAAGAGGTAGCAAAGACGAATGTGAACTTCAACTAACGTTTCCTAATATGACTAATAACCAGTCCATGCAAAACTTATTGTTGAATCATCTGAAAATGGAACTTTTAACAGGTGATGATCGACTTATTTGCCAAACATGCGCCAA